GGCACATGACCAAGGAGAGTAAAGAAGAGAAAAAATAGGGAGAACTGTACCAGTTGTAGCTATTCTGTAGTCCAGAATCAGATTTCTGTTCTGCTAGTCTGTTCGATCCGTTCTTTGGGTTGATCGATCTTCTCTTGACAGTAGGGTTGATCGATCTGCTCTGTTTTAATCAACATTCCTGCTCTGATACCATCTTGACAGTGTGGCCGGCCAGAGATAAGAGGAAGAGGAGAGAAGAGAAGAGAAGAAGAAGACCCTTGTGCCCCCGAGTACAATAACAGACATAACAGAAATAAAAAAACAAAAAAAAACACTTTAATTAGCCAAACAGACCCTAACATCCGCAACTAAGTTATTTTAACATTATTCTAACAAAGGGGTTACAATATCCACCTAAAGAGAAATAGCAGGGGCTTTTGCAAATCACTTTAGGTCTATCTTTAGAAAACCCCTAAATAGTAGGGTGTGGATTGAGGGTATGGAATGGCCAACTTTGTAGATAGAGGATAGGGATTGGTTGGAAAGGAAATTTGAAGTGGAAGAGATAAGGGAGGCAATGTTCTATATGGATAGATCAAAGGCACCAGGCCCAGATGGTTTTACGATGGCTTTTTATCAAGATTGCTGGGAGATATTAAAGGAAGATTTGTGGATTGTGTTTGACGAATTCCACTCTAGAGGGGTGATCAACCCAGGGTTGAACTCCTCTTTTTTTGCACTGGTTCCTAAGAAGAGGAATGTATGTCACCCAAAGGATTTCAGGTCGATCAGCCTACTCAATAGCCTTTATAAGATTATCACCAAGGTGCTGTCCATCAGAATAAGGAAAGTGCTCCCAACAATTATAGCAGATAATCAAGGAGCCTTTGTGAAGGGGAGACAGATAACATATCAGATTCTGATAGCAAATGAGAGCTTGGAGGAGTTTAAGAGATCCAAGAAAAAAGGGGTGATTTGTAAGTTGGATTTTGAAAAGGCTTATGATTTGGTGGATTGGTCTTTCTTGGTGGAGGTGATGACCAATTTTGGTTTTGGGGATAATTGGTGCAGATGGGTCTTGGGTTGTATCAGGAACTGCCATTACTCCATACTAGTAAATGGGATAGTGGTCGATTTCTTCCCAGCCTTGAGAGGGATTAGGCAAGGAGACCCCCTCTCTCCCTTTTTTGGTAGCTGAAGTTCTGGGGAGACTAATTTATAGAGCAGATTCCAGGGGCTTAATCAGAGGTTGGAGAGTTGGGAGGGAGCTTGTGCCACTCACACATTTGCAATTTGCAGATGACACCATACTCTTTTGTGAAGTAGGGGACCCTAACATGATTAGAAATTTGAAGCTCACTATACGACTTTTTGAGCAATTTTCAAACCTTAAGGTGAATTTTGAGAAGAGTTGTATAGTTGGGGTAAATATGGGTGAGGGGGAGATCTCTGAGGCTGTAGACATCTTAGAATGTGCAATAGCAAATTGGCCCCTTATTTACCTCGGTTTGCCATCGGGTGATAACCCTCAGAAAGGTGAGTTTTGGGTTCCGGTTGTGGAGAGGTTTGAAAAGAAATTAGCAACTTGGAAGAAAAATTATTTGTCTCTTGGAGGGAGAACCACTCTAATCAGGTCTACTTTCGCTAACCTTCGTGTTTACTTTTTGTCAATCTTCAAGATTCCGACAAAGGTGGCTAGTAGATTAGAAAAACTAATGAGAGACTTTCTCTGGGAGCTGGGGGAGGAGAAGAAGGACCATAGGGTGGGGTGGGAGATGGTTTGTAGGAGTAAGAGAGAGGGAGGTTTGGGTATCGGGAATATAAGGAATAAGAACTTGGCTCTTCTGGGGAAATGGCTTTGGAGGTTCTCATAGGAGAAGGACAAACTTTGGGTGAAGATAGCGGGAAGTATTCATGGGGTTGCAACAAATGGATGGGACTCTGGATTCTGGCAAGGAGTACAAGAGCATCTCCTTGGAAAGCTATTCAAGCTATTCTACCTTTGTTTTCTCCATGGATCAGGTATGACTTGCACTTAGGCAATCTTATTAATTTTTGGGAACATGTTTGGATTGGGGATTCTTCCCTAAAAGACCAATTCCCAAGCCTTTTTGCCCTTTCCACTTTTAAAAATGAACCGGTGTCTTCATTCATTTTTCCTTCTAATTCTATTTTTGGGGTTGGTTGGAACTTGGGCCTGCGAAGAGATATCAAGGATACAGAGCTTGATGGTATCTCATCACTGTTATCCATTCTTGAAGGGGTGTTCCTAGAGCCAACAAAGGCAGATAGTAGAATTTGGACTCTCACCCCCTCTGGTTCTTTCACTCGTGCCTCTTTCTTTAGTGCTCTCACACATTCTTCTTCTTTTGG